CTGCTGAAGGTGCTGAATTTAGTTCAGTCCACGCTGTCATCGAATGGGAAATTGTGGTAACATCAAATGTGAATTGTAACCTGTGTTCTGGGCTCCCTAGGCTTTAGCTTGGCTCAGGGAGAAATGAGAAGCAATAGCTCCCAGAATACAAGTGTCCTCAGCAGGGCTGCTCTGATCACAGCCGAGGATCAGGAGGGGCATGTACTGAGCTTGGAGAGATGCTACAGAGACCCAGGAGTGGGCAGGAAAAGGTAAACCTGGACTAGAAAAAGAGGGCAGGTGAAAGACTATGTGTGTGTGGGACAACCCTGCACAGCAGTACTGGAATACACTTACGAGAAGTAGGGTGACAGATGCTTCTCCCTGCCATGAGGGATGAATGGCTGACAGCAGTTCATCCCATGTCTCAGGGAGGGAAAGGGAAAACAGGACTTAAACCAGCATTTTTCAAATGGGAGAGAGACAGAGAGCACACCAGAGGACTCTTGACAACGGCTGCCTTAGACCAATCTGCTTTCCAAAAGACGTAACCGAAAAGGCATCTGCCACAAGGCAGCCAGCAGCTACTTCCCCCAGAAGAGCTGAGGGCCTGATCCCAGTAGGATTGCTGAAGGAAACATGTTACCCAGGCGGAGCATAACAGGGGGAAGGAGGAAAAATAAAAAGGAAAAACCCAAAGAGAAATGTTTACAGGTTTCTCTGTCTCCTTCTTCTGGGGCAGCTTCTTCTTGGGAGCCTTGCGTTCGGCACGTCTCTGCTCAGTAGTGGTGTCAGCAGCTGTGATGAGCTTCTGCAGGTCTTGGGTTCTCTTTTCTCTCTCTTTCTTCCTGGTTTCGATTTTGCGGAGCTCCTGGATGAGGTATTCTTCTTCTGCCACCTGCAGACCAAAGCACGTAAAGGCAATCAGAGCAGCAGAGGAGGGCCAGCAAGGCACGGGGGCCATCTACCGATAACAGCTCTGCTCTGGGCCAGCCTGGGAATGACTATGAGCTCTCCTGCCTAATACCTTGGATTTGCAGAGCACATTATGCTGCACAGCCTTACCCTGCATCCACGGCAATGCCAAGCTACAAACTGGCAGGTACTGTATCACAACATCCACGATACACCCTTCAGCAGCATCCATAAATGGTTAATCCCACCTCCAAAGAGACCAAGACCACAGGTAGAAAGCTTAAAAAGCCTTTACTGCAGTTGCAAATGCAGTGTGGTGAGAAGCTGGTTCCCCTCCCCAGACAGAGCAGGTAGAACCTAGAGCAGCTATGCCTCGTTTCAAGCACAACGTGGGAAGGACAAGCAGAGTCATTACACATATGAACTTGTCATTAGAGGGAACTAGCAACAGAAAAGGATGTTCTCCCCTAGCCTTTGGGGAACACACAAGTTCCTTAACCTCTAAACCCTGGGACCGTTACACAGCTTCAACAAAGAGAACTAAACATGCAGATTTACAGCCTTTGATGTGTTCTGGCAAGATTTTTACTGTCAAGGAAATAATTCTCTCTCCATGGGACTCAGGGACTCATAAGGACATTGATCCGAGACTGCGTTTGTATTCAGAGGACTTGTACAGCAAGTGTCACAGAGAAGATGGTGGCAGTTAGCAGAGACCATAACTCTGCTCACCCAGCCCTCTCTCCTGTGTAGACATGTTTCTCAGTTATTGTCCTTTTGCATCCCTTAAAATGACATGAACTCAACAACAAAAGCAATACTCGGGTGTTGCTCTTGCCTTCCCCAGTCTTCCCCTTTCCCACCCTCCGGCCTACATCATCCACCGACGGCTTCAACTTGTCATAAATCTTTTAGAGCAGAGATGCTCTCTTCCCAAAGTTACCTGCTCCGGTGTCCTGTTGTACAGCCTTTCCAGTTGTTCCTTCCTTCGTCTCTCATGGCCAGCATCGAAGACTGGGATTTTCAGGTCTGTGCCTGGAGCTGCACGAATATTAGCCAGCTTGGCACAGATGTGGTAATACCGTTCCTTCAGGTCTTCCACTGATCTTTTCTGGGGAAGACATCCCAGGAGGACAACGTTAGGGAAGAACCAAGCAAAACCTTGTGCAGTAGCCAGACACACACCACTGGCTGAGGGATGTCGGACGGGGTATAAGACAGAGTGCCTGGGAGGCAGATTAACAGGGAGCCTTGCCAGTCCCGGAGGAACCAGAGGGAAGGGGGAGTTTCTCTGTGAACCCCGTGAATTAACTGTCAGAGGTTCACAGCTACTGCTTTAGAAACACCCACCAGAGCGTCCAACAATACAGCTGAGGGTTAGAGACAATATACAGTGAAGCACTCCCAGATAAACGGATGCAAGGATAGTTGGCAGGTTCTCTCCTCTTGAGACAACAGGAAACTGTGTCAAATGCACAGAAGGCCTCCTCTGAGCTGCTCCAGACAGTGGCCAGTCACCACAACCAAGAAGGTGTCAGCTGCCCATCATTACTCAGAGCCTGAGCTGTGTTCCGTACTCCAAGCACCAAGGGTGCTTGGGCTGCCCAGCTGGGCAGACTCCTGTTATTTCACTTTGCTACAGGCTCTTCATGTGAGCATTTCAGAGATCAACAAAAAGCTCCAGCATTTGGAGCTGTTCTGTAGGAGGCACATCATTCCCCCATATCACCAGAAGGCACGGAACCAGCAGTTACAGATCTACGATCATGACACCAGGGTTGTGTCTTCAGAGCACTGATGGTCCCTGCTTCACAGGAGAGGTGACACAAACCTGCACCAGCTCAGACCATGAGTCGGGAGCAGCGTCAGGGAAAACTCCCAATCCCCAGGGACCATCAGCAGATCCTTCCCCCAGGGCCTAGACTGGAATCCAGGACACCCATGCTGCTCAGCTAAACAAACTCCCCAGCTGCCTTCTCTTCAAGGAACAAGGAATTCTTCTCCTGGCAGGGGGAAGGAAACCTTCTAACTTTCTAATAAAACACAACAGGGAATGAGCACAAGTCACAGTGGATTTAATTACAGACAAAGCAAGCAGCAATGCCCTGTGCTGGAAATTCAATATTCCTTGCTGCCAATAATTCATTATTTTCCCCTAATTAAGTTGATATAAAGGGTAATTCGGTCTTTGCAGGGCAGCAAGCCCTGCACGTGCCGTAGCAGCAGGTTGCTAGCAGCACCTTGGCCCCTGGCACTCACCTTGAACTGCTGGTGATCATAGCGGTCATGAATCACCACAAAGCGCAGATCAAAACGCCGAGCCAGGTCAAAGAGGTGGTCTGTCTCAGCTTTGGTCCACGCATCGTCGTGGAGATACATCTGGTACTCCTGCTCCGAGTAGACGGGTACCTGCACCGTCTACGCAGTGAAAAGAAAAACGTGGTAGCCCTCCTGCAGCACTGCCCTCTGGTAAGGGCTGAGAGAACTGGAGCCAACAACAAAAGCAGCAGGCTGACAGGAGAGGGCTGCCAGGACCCTGAGCAATGGGTCCTGGTAAGTAACATGACGAGCAGGCAGAGCACTTGATAAGGAGCAATGTGTGATCTCAGGGCCACAGATACGACATTCTGGGGAGCCAACCAGGAGGCTGAAGACTATTTCAGGTGGCTGACACCGGCAGAGGTCAGCAAACCACATCCTGACAACAGGTTTCAAAATTAATGAGGCTAACATGCCAGTGAAGCCAAGGTTCAGCCAGCCTCCCTGCATTCCTCTCATCTAGCAGCACCAACAACTTGACATAAACGGCTCTGACAGACGACTCCACTTGGGCTGGGACATGCTCACTTGTACAGGAAGAACGGGAAAGGCAAGGCTGCTTTTGTTGCAGCTCCTAGCCTTTAGCACACCTTCTGCTTTGATACATAACTTCTTTCATGTTTGGTGCAGACAGTGCCACGATGATCTGAAAGGCTGGGTGCTGTACAACTGAGGGCCATAAACTTGGCGCACAACTTTGTCCCTCCCATCCTCACCTACCCCTTCTCCAGCAGAGCCACGGGGCTAAACCACAGTCCAACTCTCAGAGTGTCCCCCGTGCCTAAAGGCCAAACCCACAGCGCTGTCCCCAGCCTGGAACTGCTCTTCCAGGGCTCTGTCCAGAACACAAGAGTCACATGAGCACTAAAGGAACAGTAAAAATACTGACTGCGTTAGGGGAAGTCCTGGCACATGGTAAAGCAAAAGTGCAAACAGGCCTGTGCTTTCCTCCCTTACGCCTTCCCACCACTCCTGCAGCGGAACTTTGCTCAGCTCGAGGAGGTCCTGCCTCCACAATAAAACATCGCGTGTCTGTGAGCAACACACATGCGTCAACACCTCTACACCCTCCTGAGTCCTACACCAGGAAAGTCACCCTCAAGAACTCCATACAGCTCAGAGGAGCATTTCTGACCCCACAGGTAAGAACTTCTTTAGGTCCACAGCCCTTCTTCCATCACTCAGACACAAAAGCTTAAAGGTCAAGTATATCTCTTGGAGATGCACAGCACCTCAACCTTCAAGTACCACCAAGAGAAAAGCCATCCTACTAGACACTGTAAGGATGTCCTATGGACATCATGAAAAAGAGTGTTTTCTAGAGTAGTAGAGTAAGAAATTTTCATTTCCTACATGGAAAGAGCCAGCAGGGCCCTCTGTGAGGGACAGACGGGAAGGCAGCAGATGCCTGATCAGAGAATAGAATGGGACAAGAGCAAAGAGCTCCCCAAAACACATCCTCAACCCCATTCACAGCTGCTGAGGTGAGAACTGCCAAGAAGTGAGAAGGTAGGAACTCATCAGATGGAAAGCTTGAGCCAACCACGGGATGACTGTTTCAAATGCAACATAGCCATGAAAATGCAAATATGACACACACCTCCCCCCGAGGGATTTCCAGCAGAAACTGGCAGGGTTTCAGTTGCACAAGACCTTGGCAGGAATACCCACCACAACTCTACTGACCCCTGTTCAGGAAAGATGAACTGAAATGGGAACACGTACAGAGAAGAGCAACGCGGATGAATAATGGGGTGGGGAACTTGTCTTCCCACACCAGATTGGAAGAGAAAGCAGCCTAGCTAAGGAAGTCTGAAAGGGAATCTGACTGCATGCTAGATGGAATGAAAGGAATACCCACAGGAAAAAAAAAAGAACAACTGAAATAAGGACAAAGAAATCGGCTTGCAAAGAAATGCCAATTTAACATGGAAAATTTAACCTGTAAATGAGAAATGGAGCAGAGTCAGTCCGGAACAGCTTCCCAAGGAAGCACAGGGGCAGGACAATCCAAGTGCTTTTCAAAAGGAACTTGATCAGATTATGAAAGGGACTGGATGGTGCAGGATCTGAAAGAGCCAAGAAGAGGATTCAATGGCCCAGAAAACCCCTCTCAGTCCTACATTTCACACAATGATGGGCATTAAATTAGCTAAAACTGCTCGGGAAAGATCCTGGAGCCATGAGACAGTTCTGTGAAAACATCAGCACAACGCCCGGCAGTGGTAAAGAGACAAACTGAAGATTAAAAATGGTTGGGGGAGGCGGGGGGAGAAACAGGGGGAGAATAGACAGAGAGAAAAAAAAAAAAAACCCAGACATGCAGCCAATGTAAAAACCCACCAAGCAAGTGAAACACAAACCCCTAGTCCACCCACCTCAAAAATTTCAAAAGAAAGGGTATTTGAGAACAGCAAGGGTGACACAGGGCACAGAAAGGCGGATGTATGTCGAATTATGGAAAACACAGAACACAGCAAGGGCAATTTACTACATCGTGTGACACAGAGAGTCTCAGAGGCACCACACGAAACACCCAGGCAGCAGTTTAAAGTGAACAGCAGAAAGAACCTTTGCACACCGCAGAGAATTAACCTGCAGAACTCATTACCATGGGATATTCACAAAGCAGCTTTCTGCCCTGGATGTACCGAGCAAGAATTATTAAACACAAATTCCAAGCTAAGAAATCCTTAAGCCAAAGGCCACCAGAAGCTAGGAAGAAATGATCCCTATTTGCCCCATTCTTAGTCTCTTTCTCTAAGCCTTTACTAATGGCAACCAGAAACAGAATATCGGCTGAGGCGGGCTTCTGCTCCGACATCAGTGAAGCTGCTTTTAGATTCCTGTTTCACACCCGGGGATCAAGGCTCAGCACACACTGCGAAACCCAAGTTTACATTGTGGATTTCACAAAGAGGAAGGATTTGGGTGGGAGACTGGGAGCAGAGAGAAAAGGCACAGCAACTGCCAGTGATGTGGGAGCTGGGTTAAAGAGCTCAAGTGACCAGTGGGGCTAAATGCACAGCGAAATGGGCTCATGCCAAGGGGAGTAAGGGATTCAGGCAGAAGTGAAAATGAAGCCACAGAAGAGTCTGGAAAAGTAAATAAAATTCCTCTGACACAGCAAATGTCTGCAAAACTCCTCATCAGTGCCTTCTATCCTCTCATGCATGGACCCACAAGGGCAACAACTTGCTCCTAACATGTCATCTGCACAGGCACAATTACAGAGGTCTGTACCACTAATCTAAAGGTTGCAGCCTTGCTGAAGGCTCTTCTGTCTGTCAGTTCGTGGCACATGATAAAGGTAAGGAAGCAAGAATCATATAATTACAACACCCGTGTGTGGTCCCCTGATAAACTCAGCTGAACTCAGCCAGAAACTGTTAGAGCAGCAGAGTCTTAGGGAAACAGTTACAGTCCCAAAGTTTCACCCAGACGGCAGCGTAGGTGCCTTGACTGAGTCACACTTCAGACTTCCACCCTAGACATCAGAGAAGAGATACCACGGGAGGCTCTTACCAATGTCCCAGCAAGAAGAAAAGCATCAGCGAGAGCTCAAGCCTTCTAACATACAAGGTCAACCAACCACTTAACTCTGCAGGAAGCCAAGCTTTGTAACCCACAGAGCATCAGCTCTAACAAACTTAAATGTTGTATGCAGTTACAGGAAAGCAGAGCTTTTGTGGAATCATGTTAGCACACACAGGTTTTTTTCCTCTTCAGATTTCCATAATGAAGGAGGTTAAATTACATTATAGAGACACCCTAACTCTGCTCCTTCCTAACTTTGGAGGTCCTGACTTAGAAATACAAATCTTGGTGTAGTTTTCTTTGTGAACAGACATGAAAGGCCCAGCCACTCAAAGCAGATACATCTGGGAGAAAACAGCAGGAGGTTACAACATCACATTGTGACAAGCCAATGTAAGACACAAAGAAGAGGGTACTGCACCACACTGATAGCACAGAAGCAGTTTCAGAGGGAACACAACGTAATTCAGCATCTGGGCTGGAATCTGGCCAAGAGGCTGCAAGCCAGCTTTTTGGCCACAAAGCTCAAGCGAATTTTTTCACACAGGGCAAAATAACAAGACTTAAGACTTTAACGTCTCGCTCGGAAAAGAGTATCTTTTACTACCCAAAGCTGTAATCAGGGGGAAGATGTTGGTTAGGAACTGAATCCTTAGCAAATCAATGACTGCAGACCCAAAACACGGGACGCTCTAGCAAGCTCTGACCACATACTCAGCCCACTTAGCTTGAATGATTCGGAGAGATCACAGCCTGTGGTCACATGGCTGCGGGCCATGCTGCAATTTAAAATGCAAAATTTAAAATGGCCAAATCTAACTCAGCCTTCACTAGTTGAAAAAACCAACTTCCTGTCTGGACATTCAAGAAGCTGACCAAAGGGTATTTTCCAGCTGCTATTTATATGCTTTTGTTTGAAAGTGCCCCCACTTACTTTATTGAACCTGGCAAAAGGGTAGTCCTTCCCTTCCTCTGCTGCTCTCCTCCAGTGGTAAAACATCGCTCCATCTTTTCTCGCTGGGTTGGTGAAGGGCATCCACTTCCAAGGCCGGACTTTCTTGGACCCCAGTTTGGCTTTGACCGTTCGATAACCCTGAGTTGTGTCACTTGGCAGCAGCGGAGGTGCATCCCTGAGGTGGAGAAAAGCACCAGCTGACGAGAAGCAAGAAGCAGCCCAGGACAAACCCAAAGAGATTTCGGACTCAATGTGGGATCTGCCACCACAATGTTTAGGGTGAGAAAACCCGAGTCTAAGCTTTATTCCAGGGTTTGCACTAGACTACAATGCTTCCTGCATCACAGGACATCATGATGGGTTTGAACAGATCCATACAGAGAACAAACTACTCAAGAGACATCTGGGGCAAGGGCACAATCCACAGCAAACTAAATACAGGCTGCAGCAGAATTCTTTTGGCAGAAGTAAAAGCAGGTGCTATTCCCGGCTGCAGATAAAAGAGAATTAGATACAGAGGGGTAAAAACACTGCCTTGTCTGCACCAGACTATTGTGCTTGTACCTAATTCACCTCCTACACAGAGCAAGCCTCTCGAATTTAGAAGAGACACTGTCCATGACTGTCTAAGGGAGAAGGGCATGAGCGTGGGCCAAGCACAAAGGGCAGTCTGGGAAGTGAGACTGCCCATGCTTTCAATGGGGTGCTGCCCTACCACCAAAGGCCCAGGCTACCCCACAACCTGCAGAGATGACCACAAGCCCTTACTTTTTGTCAGAGTAGAGGAGTGCATAAACTTCTCGGTGCATTCCTTCCGGCCTCTTGAAGGTCAGCGTCTCTGAAGATTTCTTGGATTTTTTCTGAAACAAAAGAATTGAATTTTAGATTCAGAAGGAGCAATCCCTGAAGGAACATTAAACTACGTAACCTGGTGCCCTGTGATGGCTTTCGCTTTTATCTGGTTTTAGACACCTTGAATTTCTCCAGGAAAGTTCCTGGTGAAAGACATCGACAGACAAAGCATGCCCAGCCTCAGTGATAGCACTTGCCAGTCCTCACACACTTGCTGTTGCTGATAACAGGCATTTAAGTTCCAAGTTGAGTATCTGGCTGTAATTTTCAGGAGCTAGCGCACTGCCTTTTTTCACCTCATAAGTGCTGTCCCCATGTGAAAATATTCATGCATTCAATTAAATTATTTTCTACCTTTCAGAGAAGACACTAAGAAATGTCTTCCCACCCCCTCTTAGTTTTTTTCACTTGGTTCTGCAGCAACTTCAATTTTTACTAGCTGTGATCACGGTCTGGCAGTAGCCCCCGTGTCAAAACTACTGGTATCACTTAAAAAAGCCGTTCCTGCATCTGCTCTCCCACTTAGGAAGCAAAGAATTTTTTTGACATAGCTCCTTCATACTAGGAATTTAGGGTAGAGACTCAATATAGCCCCTAAAACCTTGTCAGACTTGATTTCTAAGACACGTTCCACCTCATACCACACACACAAGTTTATAAACAGCTTGTGATTCAGGTGGATACAGTAACAGCCACATTACCAAGGTACACTTCATTTAAAGTGGGCCACTTACTGAATAGTCCAGAGCATTTGGTCTAACTGCATCATCTTTAAAAATAGTGACATGGTAAGTAGTTGTAAGTACTTTTTTACCACATCACTACCAACTTTTTAATCAGAGTATCTTGCAGTAGTAAAACTAACACTGTATCATAAATTGTATTAAATCCACAAAGTCACCTTTATCAAGCAAATTCAAAATACCATTACAAAAAAAATAATTTATCATCTTGGACTACAACTATTTTCCATAAAACTCCACGACAGACATTCATCGTATCAGCACCTTTTCACTACTAATCAAACACCTTTCTCTAGTGCGTCCATCACTTTGCCCAGGAATGATGTAAGGCCAACTGAGGCACTTACCCACGGGTCACCACACACCACATTTGAACACAGGCTTCTGGAATTCCCCCAAAGTTCCCAGATTTATTAGAAGTTAATATCAGCAGGCCAGAGATCAGCTCAGCCAGCTCTTTCAGGAGTTGAGAACAAATGACTTGGTCCTGCTGATTTCAATGTTTTTATGCCTAGCAATTTTTATTTTAACATTCTCAGTTACTAATGGACTGGAAAGTACCTCATGGTTTTCTTGTGATTTAAAGACATCAGTCTGTTTCTTTTCTAATTGAAAACAGATCTATTTCCTGAGCAAGTGCTGTGCTGTTATTAGTAATTTTGCTCTCTCCGTGCAACAACAGCTTATACCTTTGCTTTGATTGTTTCTGTGCTTTGTAGAAATTCAGAACATTACACTCACGCCTGCCAGCCGCCTCCCGGGCTCCCCCCAAAACCTCCCACTGCACCTTCCCTTCCTCTCTCTTTCCATTACAGTAAATCTGAGAAACCCATCTTATTCTGTGCTCCAAAAGAGAGACAGCCAGGTAGTAGTACTCCTTCAGCTCTCTGCTAGCTAACAGACAAACGCATCTAGACCAAAGAACTGGCAACCCCGAAGACCCAGTGGCACAACATCACAGGCTGAACCTAGCCACTGAGCTGCTCACCGGACACGTTATTCACCAACACAGCTGATAACCGCTGATTTTAACATTTCAGCCTCTAAATTACTGAAACGCATCAGTTTTCCACTACACCAATTACACTGTGTGTCCTACCCTCAGCAAGGCAGTCATGAAACCACCGTGTTGCTCTTCAGAAACAAATGTTTCAGTGGAGGCAAAGACAGAAAGTATTTTCAGGGATGAGGAGGTTGTGTATATTTTGTTTTGGGGTTTGTTTTTCTAAACAAATGCACAGGCTTTACTTCAGATCAGATCACCTCTGTACCAGAGAGCTCCCGGGGATTTCATCTCCCTTGCCTCGTTTCCAAGCATCTCCACATCTCATAACTACTCATAAATTGACCTTCCCAACACTTCACAAAGCACGGGACAGCCAAGACTTTGCCCGAATTTATAACACAGAAGGCAACAACATACCCTAGCACATTACCACAAAAAACGCAGCATGTGTCAGCATAGGTCCTTAACAGAGCTTACTAATTTGCCCACGTTCCCACAGGCAACACATCCCAGTTCTCCCAAACTTCACCCATACACCTTTCTCTCACAGGGACTGCTCCCACGGTTTGAAGACATTTACCATTCAATCAAGTCCGACAATGGTTTTGTTCTTCTAAAACAGGACTGTGTTATATTATTTCCATCTGCTCGGGAGCTAGACGGTAAACACACTTCACACACTCCACAAAATGGGAATTTTAGAGACAGCTGAAAATATCCCAGGTCAAGCCCAGCTCACCAGGACACCACTTACACAGTTCCAGCTCAAATACCGCCCCAAATGCCACAGCCCAGTTAACTGAGACCACCAGGAACCCTGGAGCGGGGCCCTCCAGGCATTTCAAGATGCCTTGATGGTAGGAACATGCTTTATCCCATTTTTTTTTCCAATATTCACCCCAGACACCACATGCAAGGTCAGTCAGTCCGTAGAAAACATGCAGCAGTCCCTCGGGATATTGTAGTTCACCTTATCCGAGTTGATGATGTCTTTTTTGTTGATGGTGCCCGTGTTCTCTGACTCCACACCGCCCAGCTCCAGGATGTCCCGCACGTCTGCGCCCGTCGCCATCTCTCCACCTGTCCGCTGGCCTTCTCTGCCGCCGTCCCGTCCGTCCCCTCCAGCTCTAGGGTGCGGGGAACCAAGGGGCCGGGGTTAACGCGTACCTCCCACGCGGGCTATCCCACGCACACACAAACGCGCAGAGCTGTGCATATGTACACACGGATATCTACATACACACACGTGCGTGTGTGCATATGTATATATGCAGATGCACACGCACGTATATCTATCTACACGTACACGCCGCCCCCCAGCCGCCTCCCCATC